CGTGGCGTGGCATGCGTGGCACTCTCTCGACACCACAGGGGGTGCGCAGATGGTTGAGTTTCTTACCCGATCCGTAACGGAATCAAACATACATCACAATAACAGATGTACATTAAGCATGCGGAATGCGGGGTTCCTTAGTAGCGTAATGTCTCGCTGTTTTAGTCCCGTTCTCATCACCCATACTCCAGCAGATAAATCCTCTTTTTGCTCCTGCCTCCTTTTCCGCACACAACCCTCGCCCTCTCCCTCCCAACTCGAGCATGCGCCACAAGGGTCTTCAGATCGTTCAGGTAAGCCCATGACCTGATGTACTTATGAGCTCGACTACGAATTCTGGGATCTCCAAATTGTCGGCTGCAGTAGCTCCACGGTGTCCCTGGGCGAGTCTCCTCCTCATTCTTCCCTCCTCATCCTCCCTCCATATGCTCAGAACTCTTGTTCCTGCATACACCTCCCTGTTATCAGACGCCGTCCTCGTACATGTTCTTCCTCGCCATCTCAATTTCAATCAGTCACAAGAGTGCGCCAAGAGGACCTTTTCGATCATGAGAACCAGTTCATGCCATGAGGCCTTCGTTGCTGCTTGACGCAGCGGCGGAAGTAGCTCCACGGCGTCCCTGAGTGAGGCAGTACATCGTCCACAACGGCCCCAAGATGGCCCTAAGACCCTAAGACGCCATCGCCCATCGCCCCCCTTTGGGTTCTGGATTTCTGAGGCGCGGTCATCATTCCGCGCCGTGTCCTGGCGCCCACATGTGAAGTAGAAGAAAGGGCGCTTGTCGCAAGGCGCGCGTGGACGAGGCGAGAGCGATTGCAAGAGGCGATGGCGACAAGATGTGCGATGGGAGCCCTCACTCACGGGCGTGGGAGTGACGAAAATGGCGGTGGCAGAATTTGAGAACAGGGGAGTCGTGCGAAGCAAGATAGCTTCGCTTATCAGGTCCGCATTTCGAGGGATTACATTGACGAGGTGCTGAAGGACATCCGGTCTCTGCGCACCGAAGTCGTTCGTTACCGCGACCGGGCCGGGGAGAGCAGGGGTGCAGCAGCAGCAAGCAGCAAGCATGCACGGCAGTGTGAACGGTGATTCGCGAGCGCAGCGAGGAGGAGGAGGAGGAGGAGGAGGAGGAGGAGGAGGAGGAGGAGGATCAGGGGATATATTAGCAGGCGACAGGAGCTCGAGGAGGGAAGCGAGCAGCACGACGCATGGCCGCCTCTCGAGCACATGAGAGGCCTTCATCCGCCTGCGCGCGTAGCGTTGCAGCGCACTTCTGCGATGTTGGTCGGAGCCCCGTGGTCGGAGCCCCGTGGTCTTCTCTCCTTCTTCTCGGGCCTCTGCAGTCGGGCCCCTGGGTCTGACACAGGTCCTCCCAGCAGGCGGTGGAAGAATCCAGACGCGCAACGACAGCAGGACATCGGCGGCCCTCCTCCTCCCCCCACGTCCCATAAACTCGATGCGGGCCCTTGCTCTTCTCGGGAGAGTTCCCTGCCGCCGTGGTCCAGCTCTCGGGGGTCGGTGGAGACACCGGCGGCCCTCCTCCTGCTCCCCCACGTCGGGGAGCGCCGCCGGTGTCTGAGCTGGCCTCCCCCCTCCGAAACATAAGGTCGGGCATGTTCATGGCTGCCAGACCTCTGTCCCCCTTTTCCAGCTCAGCTCCAGCAGATAGGGGGATCTCGGTGATGTGTCGCAGATGGGGCCGCCCAGTCTGTTCGCGCCACGAGGGCTCTGTATTGGAGCTGCGGTCATAGCCAAGACGGGGCCGCGCAGTCCCGCCGGGTCCTGGGGCCCACCCGGGGCCACGCGAGCCCCCTTGGGCTCCCGAGAGGGCTCCCCACGGGGGCTCCCCACGAGGGGCCACGCAGCGTGCCCGCCAGCGCGTGGGCGTGCGACGGCCGCGAGGCGGCAACGCCACAAACTGGATGCGGACCCTTGATCTTCTCGGGAGAGTTCCCTACAGGCCTCGGAAAAAAATAGCGAACACGCATGCCGCATTAATATGTGAACGCCTCCCCCTCCCCCCAATGTTCAAAGTTGGCGGTGGGTCTGACGAGTTGCACCTCGACCGCAGTCTCCCCCGCGCGTGCCAACCTTGAGTTGGGGGGTGTTCACTAATCGTTTCCCTCTACCGTGCCGCCGTGATCTAGCACTCGGGGGTCGGTTGAGACATCGGCGGCCCTCCTCCTGCCCCCACGCCGGGGAGCGCCGCCGGTGTCTGAGCGGGCCTCCCTCCTCCGAAACATAAGGGCGGACAAATGCTCTGCTTGCCTCGTGCTCCGTCGCTCGAGCTCCCTCTCTCGAGCTCCCTGCTCGAAGCACGACGGCGCTCGAGGAGCCCGGCTCGGCCTTCTGGCCCGTGTCCGTAATCACTGGCCTAGGGGCTCCCAGAGATGGGGCCGGCGCGGCTGGGGTCGGAGGCTCAAGCCGCCGTGCTGATGTATCGACGATGCGGCCCGATGCGGAGCCCGACGCTCTCCACGCCGACGTCGCCGATGCGTCGCCGACGTCGGCGATGCATCGACGATGCATCGCCGACGGCATCGGCGGTGCGGCGCGATCTCGGACCACAGCTGCTCCGACCTCGTCTGGGAGGCAGCCAACCCGGGAGCCGGGCGGCCCTCGGCCTCTCGGGCGAGGCCCCCGCGGCGCAGGGAGGCGCACGAGGGAGGCACGGGCGGGGGCCCGCCTCTCCCGGGGGAGGGCGAGGGGGGCGCGCCCGCAGGAGAGGGCAGGGCCAGAGGGGCGGCTGGACACCCTCGGGCGCGCTCTCTTCGACTGCTCGCCGGGCGTGGTCCCTTCGCCAGGAGCGAAAGAGGGACGTACGTGTACACGAGTCCACGTCGGTTTCAAGAGCACGCATCGCGCGCACGTTCGTATCACGCGGCCAGTCTCGCGGATTGGGGCGCCGTGTTCATGTGCGTGGTTGGGCGCGTGCGTCCTTTGCGGGCTCCCTACTTTCGGCCGCTTGTCGTCGCGCCCGCCCCCCTTGTCGTTCTTTACTCGAGCTCCCCAGACATGCCTTGTCCCGTTTTTTCCTGGGCGCGGTCCCCCGAAGTCTCGACCCTATCCCCCAGAGCCGGTTTTGCATCGTGGATTGTTTCTGTTGACGGCCCCGAGGCTCGGCGAAGGCACCCAAGACGCCGCAAACGGCAAAAACAGCGTCCTTCATGATTTGCTTTACGACGCGAGCAGGTCTGGGCCTGCATCCCCCATGCGCCGTCCTCGCTGGCTGCATGGATGCGCGCTGAGATTCTCGGGCGCCATCTGGTCCTGCGCGGTCCTCCGCGAGCGGGTCCGAGGCCGTCTCTGGGGGCATGCCCCGTCGACGCCGCTTCTTCTGCCCTGCATCTGCCTCCGGACGCACGGTCGGGTCTCTTCCTCCTCCCTCCTCTCTCCTCCTCCTCCTCCTCCTCCTCCTCCTCCTCCTCCTCTCCTCCTCCTCCTCCTCCTCCTCCTCCTCCTCCTCCTCCTCCTCCTCCTCCTCCTCCTCCTCCTCCCGCGGTCAGGTCACTCTTCCATGCGAGGAGCTGTGCCTCTTCAGTCCGAGCCTGCAGCGGCGGTCATCCAGCGGACGAGGGGAGGTATGAAATACGAAGCGTTCCCTCCACGGGGGCCATCGGGGACGCCTGTGCGAGGGCGGCTCGACAACTCGTGTCCCGACGCACCACGGCAGGGAATGACTAAGCTTGCTTGCCGCCTTGGGAGCCGCGCCACGGATAGCGGAAGCAAGGTTCGTGTACGGTCGTGTCATCCGCTAATGTCACGACGTCCTTTTTACGGTCGGGTCTACTACAACCAACCCGCATAGTTAGGATGGGCAACTTTCCCAAAGGTACCCTTGCATCCTTGCCTCATCGGTCGATCCTTTGCCACACTCATTGGCCGCGCCCCGCTCGAAAAGCTTCAAAATGGGCGTCCAAGGCCCTTGCATCCTTGTCGCGCATCCTCTCTATAAGGTCTGGCTGGATCGCGTTCCATGCCCTTGTTCATGTCTGGGTCTCGGGTTGTTCTTGGACGAGATTTCGGTCCTCCTCGGTCTTTTCTTCTTCATTGTTTTGCCAATCGGTGCGGGCCTTCGTACCCCCCCTCCCCCCCCCATAAAATAAATCTTGGCTGCTTTGGGCGCCTGTTTCAAGCAGGTGGGGCCTCCCCCATAGGACGCCCTGGTGCAAACAGTCGCATTAAGCAGAGGTCCGAAGCCAGACCGCCCCCCCTCTCCCCCCCTTTCCGCCCAATGTCGAAACGCCGAATGAGAAAAAGTTCACAACGCAAATGAAACAACGAAGCCACCAAGAGGGTCAAAGACGGCCCCAGGCCCCAACCTCCAGGCGTCGCCAACAAGCAGACAACACGTTCCACCGTTTTGGTGGCCGGGAGTTTGTTGTTGTGGCCCCGCAGCCCACAAGCAATGATGCGGTGTGTTTGGGGACGCTGTGAATTTCTTTGGGGAGTCATGGTGGGTTTGGGGGGGTCCATGGGGGGCCTTTTTTTCTCGAGCAGGTAGAGACCCTCTAGTGATGACACCCCTCGGCGCTGCCTGGAAGTATTTATTTCGGGCAGAGGGTCAAGAATTCTGGGGCCCGCGTGATGAGAAGTCATTGAGTTGGAGTTGCCCAGAGGGCCCCCAAAGGCCCTCCGACTGGCCTCAAGACAGCCCCACAGGCTCCGAAGGAGGCCCGAGTCGCCATCGAGGCCAAAGAGTCTTCGGCGTCATCGTCATCGCGTCATCATAATTTGCTCGACGCCACGGGATTTGGGACCTCCTCGGGAGGCCAGCGGCAAGCTGCTGGACGTCCGGATCCCCGAGGGCGTTCTCACTCTGCTGCGCTTCCGCGGCGCTTGCAGCGGCAAGCCAGTGCTCGGGTCTTAGCTGATGACTCCTCGGTTGCCTGGAGGAGTTCCGATTCGCGGCTGGTCCTATGGTGCGGCGTGTGAGAGAATCTGATTGCCAGCAGTTGCATATTATTGGCTCGGAATTCTCGAGCGGACGTGGTGGATCGATGCTATGTGCCGTTGCCCATCTCACAAACATCGAACAGTTCGCGATGGTCGATCGTGCGCACGGCGCGCATCTGTGTGGACACCGGGCGCCCTACGAGAGCGAGGAGGAAGAGGAACCCGTTGAAGATGAGTCCGTGTGTATTGTCGTCCGGTTTGCCGCATGCCTCGCATGATTTTTCCCATGCTTCGTCCTTGCTCCTGGAAGAGATCGCAGAGAGCGGAGCCGCCCCCGAGGTCCGAGGAGCGCATCGCCCGGCTGGCCCTGGACATCATGGACGCGAGGGAGGGGGGGGGGGCGCCCAAGAGGGGGGCGAGGCCTGGGGGACTGGGGGGGGGCGAGGACTGGGGCCGTCCAGTGGCTCTTGGATGTTCAGAGGCGACAGAAGGCCGGTGCGCGTGCTACTCATGGCGCGAACGTTCGTATCACGCGGCTGGTCTCGCGGGCCAGGGCCGGCGGCGAGCGGAGGCGGGCAGGGAGAGGGGGCGGGCCCTGCGCCTTCCCCGGGGACAGGGGAAACTTCTCTCGGGGGTGGACAGACCTCCTGACAGTGACGCGTCGATCAGTGAATTGTCCGTTTTCGGTTCTCGAGAGGGCGCCGCGGCCGTTATTTTCCAGGCTTGCGCCCGCCAGGTTTGGGCCCGAGGTCGTTCTCACTAAACCACGTTTTACTAAAGGGAGGTCTGTCCATCCCCGATTCTCAGAAGGCGCGAGGGCTTGTGAGAAGCCCCGCCGCCTTCCGAGAAGGCCTTCTCCTTCTCACTACCCCCTTCGCTCGCCGCCGATGGGGGGGGCCGTGCTCGTGTACGTGGCTGGGCGCGGACGACCTGTGTGGGCTCCTGAGGTGTTCCTCCCCTTGGTCGTGCTCCCCCCTTGTGCGGCCCCCTCTGAGATCCGTGCAGGGCTTTCCCACGCCCTCTTGCAGGACTGGGCCACTGCGCACGGGAGCAGGGCGAGGGTGGCAGGGGGTGGGACGGGGGGCCTGCTCACTGAACTCGACCCAAGACCCCAAAAGCCCTGCGCAGCACGTGCACCACAGGATGGTTTGGAAAGGCATCAGGTGCACCAGAAGGGGGGGATCAACCAAACATATTCTTCAGAGATGAGAAGTCAATCACCAGTTTGAAACTGATCGCACTTTTCTGCTAAGCCCTCGGTGTTTACCCCCTTCGTCTTCGACCGTACCCCCTTGGAGGTACGTCTGTATCTTCCTCACCTGCCACGTGTAGTTGACGCAGCCCCCAACACAGGAGAAGGTAGAGAGGAGGGAAGCGACAATGGGGGACGTAGAAGGATTGAGCACAAAAGAGACTCGCAGGAGAGACGTCAGGAGCAGGAGCAGAAGCGGCAGAACTGCACGGGTGGGTCGGGCGGGCGGACCCTGCCAGGCGGGCCTGGCGGGCGGGCACAGACGGCCGGGTCGAGCGGGCGGGTCGCTGAAGCGTCAGTCTTGCACGGATCGCACGGAAGTCTCGAGCGGTAGCGCGACTTCCCAGTAGATCGCGAGGGAGTCCAAAGCGAGAGCGTGAATCCTGAGTGTCGAGGGCGCGTTGCTTCAACTCACTGCGAGGAACTCCCGCGCGAGAGCGTGGTCCCTAGACAAATTGCGAGGACGTCCCGCGCGAGAGCGCGATTGTGAATACACTGTGAGGAAGCATGAGGAAGTTTGAGGCAGAAGCCGTTGTAGTTGTCGGTGTGGAAAGCCCGGGGGCCAGGGGCGCTGTCTGAGGCCCGAGGCTTTGCCTTTGAGAGAAGAGGGCGCGACTCCTGGGAGGGGCACTTCGATTTGAAAACACAATGGGCATTGGAGGGGGGGGTAATAATAGCTTCATGTCGGGCGTTGGGGAGGGGCTCGGTGTTCCTTGCTTGTTCTGCAGTGTACCTTCGGTTCTCCTAGGTTTCCCATGGGAAATCGAAGTTAAACTTATGGGTGAAACGTTCCTTATTTAGGGTTCCTTAGGCCAACGCCCCAACTGTACAGGAGGAATGTTCAGAACTAGTCAAAACATATTCCGGGGAGGATTTTTCTATGATCCGCCTGTAGGGGGACATGCTCGACCTAACCGACGTGCAAGGAGGGTGAAGGACAGGGCCTTGAAGGGCAGGCTTCTGGAGCCAGCGGGGGCCCTAAAGGGCCCCTTTCGGGCCCTTTGCTTCACCCCCCCCCACTGAGGTCATCCCCCCACTACCACCCTCGGCCGGATGGCGATGGGGGGATCAGGACATGGGGGGATGAGTATCTGGTGCCGTTTCGTTGGGGTACAATTTGTACCTTCTCTGCGGGTTGCAAGTGCAAATTGTACCTTCTCCCCCCGTTAACATCTTCACACATGTCGCGGACGTTGTCAAAAGTACAATATGTACCTTGTCTGCGTGGCGTCGGTACAACTTTTACCTTCTCCGTGGGGCGTAGGTACAATTTGTACCTCGGTTACGCCTCTCTCCCCCCCTGGACTTATCCCCCCATTTGCATCCCGCCAACACCCGCCCGATGGTCTCGGCCACACGTAAGAGTGGCCCTTCAGCAGAGTGACCTTTGGTGCAGTCGCATTGGGGTCCCCCGATCGCCGGACAGCGATGCGGTAGTAGCTTCTTGCGCGCTTGCGTTTGCCTCCCCCCACCCCCCGCTGGCCCCCAAAAAGCCGCGCACCAAAGGTCACTCTTAGAGCCGGGCCGCTGAAGAAGGAACCTTTGTCGTTGGGGAGGGGCTCTGTGTTCCTTCGTTGTTTTGCAGCTTGTCCTATGTATTCCTTAGGTTTTCTGTGGGAAGTCGAAGTCTAACTTATGGAAACAAGGGGCGCCGTTCCCAATTTAGGGTTCCTCATGGCAGCGTCTCGATTGCACCTGGGGTCAACTCCTGCGTGCAGCCGATGGCTACTTTTCAAAACTGGGAAATCCACGAGCGGGAGGCACAGGGCCCCCGATCCAAGGCCGCCGCCCCCGTGCTTGGAGGAGGAGGAGGAAGCGGGGGAGCCGTTTTGCGCAGGAGGCCACTGGAGGTCTCCAAGGGGTGGCGGATGGCTCACAGAGGTCTCCAGAAGTCTTCGAAGGCCTTCGCAGGGCCCCGCAGGCTCTGAAGAGGTCCTGACGAGAAGGAGAGTCAGGCGGAGGAGGAGGAGGAGGAGGAGGGATAGAATGTCTACGAGTGGGTGTGAGCAACTCCAGGTCCAAAATCGGCGGCCCGTGGCTGGCGGTCTCCCGCATAATTTGCCGCACGGTCTCCCGTATAGTCGCCCTGGACATCTCCCGTACCCATCGGTCGTTGAAAGTAGATAAGTTTGGACTCCCAGTTCCCAATCTATTTTAGCCGCCTTCTTACTTCAAGAGCGGAGTGGTTTCCCCTCTTCCCTCCTCTTCGGGTGGCGGGCGGAAGCCCAATATACTTCCGACGCCTTCCTGCTCCATGGTTCTACCTACTTCTTCCGACCGATGAGTCTGGTTTCCCGTCTGTGTTCCCGTGTACGGCCTCCTTTTTCAGCATTCTTGGATGATCTCCGTGATCGTAATCTTTTTTCGGAGGTTGATCGACCTCCTTCCCTGACGCGTCGATTCGCGAATTCACCGTTTTCGGTTCGCGAGAGGGCGTCGCGGCCGTCGTTTTTGCGGGTCCAGGACCGTCGGTTTCGGTGCTCGGCCGTTTGCACGAAAGGGAGGTTTGCTGAAGGGAGGTTTGTCCACCGCCGATTTTGTATGGTCTCCGTGTGGCTTCTCTCATGGTCTCCCCTGGTGGGTCTCCTGGCCTCCCCTTCCTTACAGGTCTCCGCGTGTTCTCTTCATCGCAGTGCCATCTTTTTAAGTCGGGGACGTCCCTCTACAGGAGGGATATTTGCAGAACTAGTCCAAAAATCATATGGGGCCGATCTTTCTAGTATGCTTGACTCTGGTTGAGTTGTTTTTTGTTGTTGTTTTTCGTTTAAGAAGAAACATAAACAAACGAATCGTTCGCCCCAAATCCGCCTGTAGGAGGACATGCCCGACCTAAATCTAGAGTGCTCTCTACATGAACCTTCTCTCTCTGAGATACTCTCTGCAGCGGTGTCTCGAGCATGATACAGAGTTGTTTAGGGCATTGTGCCGCCAAGAGTGAAATATTTGCTTTCGTTGTCTGCGTCGGGAGACGGCAAATCTGATTCAACTCAAGTTGACTCATCAAGGCCCAACAGAGGGTCCGGCGGAGTCGGCTCAATCCGCCATATCTCTACCGATGTTTGACATCTGGCGAGAGTCTCGGGAAGGCGCTGTCTCCGCCGAAGTGCAAACGCAACATGTGCCTGGACAAAACAATGGAGCGCAGCGCTGGGCTTGCCCCGTGAAGGAACACGATCATGTGCTTACCTCTTCCCATACCGTGCATGAGGTTTGCCAGCGCATGCAGGAAAGGTTGGCAATGGCAGCCAGAACTGCCGCTGCTCAGCGAGATGTGTGAGTCGAAGATGGCGCCCAACATCATCAGCTGCAGCGTGGGGATATGCGCTCGCAAGAGGTGCAGGCAGTAGTCGGAAGAAGGCCTCTGGCGCTGCTCAACGAGAGGTGGGAGGCAAAGCTGCAGCCCAGCATCATCAGCTACAGCGTGTGTGGGCCAGAGCGTGCGAGAAGGGCGATCAGCAGCAGCGGGCTTGCCTGGGAGCATCCTGTCCGTAGCCGTGCCGGCTCAAAACACTCACACTCGGCCCGAGGACGCCCGGGAGCAGCACCGATGCGCACATGGCCGCCCACTGCCGCCGCGGTGCTGTGCGCGGCGTGGGCCGCCGCCGCCTTGGCAGACGACGGCGCGTCGGCCGAGGAGGATTTCGTCCGCCGCGCGTGCAAGTTCCGGCCGCTGCCGCGCGACCTCGGCGAAGGCCACGGCCGCGCAGACGGTTCTTTCCGCGTCTCGGATGTCTTCAGCCTGCCGCTGTCGGCGCTGGCGCGCGGCGGGCACAACGTCACGGCCGCCGTGCAGCCAGGCTCGTGGCTCGGCCTGGCCGTGCAGGTGCCTTTTGCGACTGGGTCGCTGCTGTCGGTGGCGCTGCACTCGGGCGGCTCCGAGGTGCAGCAGTGCCAGCACACCTGGGGAGCCGGCGGTCGCATGAAGCAGTGCGTGTTGGAGAGCGTGCAGCTGGGCCGGGGAGCCGTGGCGCTCAGTTTCGGCCTCTCGGGGCTGCCGGGCGCAGAAGCGCCAGAGGGCCTCCTCGGCGCGGGCGCTTGCGTCTCGCTGCGCCTGGAGCTGGAGATTTCGCCCAGCGAAAAAGTGGAGCGCGCCGCACAGTGCGCGGGACACGTGCGGCTGCCCCCCGCGCTGGCGGAGGTCGGCGGCGAGCTCAAGCCCGGCAGTTTCTTGGCAGAGAGCGGGGAGGGTGCCGTGTGGTCCTCGCTGCTTCCCGCCTCCCCTGGCCCGGGGGCCGAGCTGGTCCTGCTGGGCGCCAGGCTGGGCTTCCCCTCGATGGTGAGGCCCCTGCAGCTGCTGCTGGAGGAGCTCGAGCCCCTGGCCGAGGGGGACCTGGGAGCAGCCGGCGCCTCGCCGCGGTGCGGCCTGAGGTGCTGGGGGGGCACGCCCACCACCGACGGCCAGATCCTGCAGCACCTGCTCCCCGCAGACGTGCCGTACCGGCTCTGGGTCCTGGGCGGCAGCAGGCGCGGCGGTTGCGACCGCTTCGACCTGGAGGCCCGCGCCACGAGCGCGCCGGCGGCTCGGATGCAGGAGTTCTACCTCGGCCCGCCCGCCTGGCTCTGCGAGGGCGCAGCCTGGCCTCCCCGGCTGGAGCAGCTCGCGGAGGGCGTGCCTCTCCCCGCGCCACGCGCCGTGGCTGGAGGTGCGGCGGGCGGGGCGCTGCGGGCGAGGCGCTTCGCTCTGCGCGACGTGCTGGAGCTGACGCGGCCGCCGCACGCCGAGCCCGGGGTGGACGGGCCGCAGCTGGCGGGCGGCCTGCGCACCCTGGAGCTGCAGGTGACGGACGCGTCGGTGCTGCGGCTGACCACCGACGCAGCGACAGTGCCGGTGCGCCCGCTGCTGATGCAGGGCAGGTCCGAGCAGGAATGGCAGCAGCCGCGCCGGCCAGACAGGTGGCCGGCGGCCCAGGTACCGCTAGCAGGGGGCGAGGTTCGGTACAGCATCCACGCCGAGCTGCCGCCGGGGGAGTACACCCTCGCCTTCGTCACTGACTTCGCGGTGGGGGGCCTCCGGCCTTGCGCGTCCGTCTTCTTGCGGCTTGAGCTCGTGCCGCGGAAGGACTTGGACGCAGTCTCCGCTGGCGACGGCATAGACGGCGAGTGCGCCAACGGCCGCGGCGAGAACATGTTGGACGAGCAGGTGAAGGAGTGGACCTCGCCGCTGGACAGCTTCTTCGAGCGCGCCATGAGCTATCAGCTCACGCTGCCGCGGCCAGCCTCGCACGCGTGGCAGCCGCAGCAGGGCGTGCAGAAGCTCGCTCGCGCAGAGGTCGACCTCGCAGGCGGGAAGCCTTTCCTCCTGCGCGCCAGCGTGTCCTCGCCCTTCGCTGCGGCCGACATCGGCATCCAGGTCTTCTGCGGCTCCGCCGCGGTGGGAGACCCGCGCCCGGCACCCGACGGGACTGGCTACGTGGTCTTGGCAGGGCCGTTCTCCGCGGCGGGCCGCTACGCGGTCGAGGTCTTCCACGTCCCCCGGCGGCCCTTCGGCACCTCCAGCCAGAGGCACTGCGTGACCGTCTCCGTGGACCTCGCCGCGGTGGCCGCGGCCCTGCCGCCGCTGCCGCCGGGCGGCCCCGCCGAGCCCGCGGCCCTGGCGCTGGCCAGCGCGCCGCTGCTGAGCTCGGGGCCCTGCCGCCTGGGCTGCCCGGAGCTGCCGGCGGCGCTGGCGGCGACGCCCGGCCGGCCCGCCGTGATCGACGGGGAGTTCCTGCTGCCCCGCGGCGGGCGGCAGGACATCGAGGTCGCCGGCCCCGGCAGCGGCCCGTGGGTCGTGCGCGCGGAGGCGTCCTCCCCCGACGCGGAGGTGAGCGTCGGCGTGGGCGGCGCCCCCGCGCCGCCGCGGGGCAGGAGGACGGAGGACGCCCTGCTGGTGGTCGCCAGGGCACCCATCAGGGTCACCGTGGAGGCCTCGCGCCTGCCGACGCCCACCGCGTGCCCCCTGCTGCGCCTCCACCTCGTCGTGGTCGCTGCTGCGGACGTGCCGTCCTGCCCCGGGGCGGCCTCCGACGCCGAGGCTGCGCGGGGCGAGGCGCACAGGCGGCTCCACGACCTCTGGGAGTTCCAGGAGGCCTTCAAGCCACAGCGGGTCGACACCGCCCGCATGCGCTACTTCTCGCACTGGCTCGCCGGCGCGGGCGTGGGCGCCACGGTCATGTTCCGGGTCCGCTCCGCCACCGCGGAGCTGCGGTTCGAGCTCGGCGTGCAGCCGCCGTGGTTGCCAGTCGAGGTGCTCGTCGAAGACGCGGAGGGGGTGACGGATGGCCTGTGGGCCCGCGCGCGGCCGAGCGGGGGGCGGTTGTCCCTGCTGGCACCGAGCTTGCCGAAGGGCCTGTATAGGCTGCACTTGCGTTCGTGGAGCCGGGTCTGGAATAGTGCGCAAGACTTCCCGCTGACGCAGCGCTGTGCGCTCGTGACTGGCGCGGTGGTGTTTCTTGAGCCGTCTGGGCGCGACGCGTCGAACTTTCGGCAGGAGATGCTCAACCTTGCAGAGTTGCTGGCCGTCTCGCCATTGCCCGCCTCACTGGCACCCTCATGGCTCCGGCCACAAGACGAGCTGCTGGCCTCGCAGATGTACGCCGTGCCTCCCAGCGGCGGCGACACCATCTTGAAGGTGGACGGGCCCCGCACGCTGCGCCTGGTGGCCGAGCCGGCCGACATCCTCGCGCCCAGGCTGAGCTTGGAGGTGCGGCGAGATGGCCCGGATGGTGAGGTGGTGGCCTACCCCTCCGCGCTGATGGGGGGCACGCAGGTCGCCCTGAGTCGCTCCGGCACCTACCTGCTGCGGCTGATCCCCAGTGGCGAGTCCGCGTGCCCAGATTGCGTCCACCAGTCCCTGCCGTTCTACCTCACCGTCGGCCTCTCGGCCGTGGTCGCCACCACCCCAGCCGCCGCGAACTGCCCCTCCGAGCCGCCTCTCGCGGAGATGCGTGCGCTCGGGATGGCGCCCTCGGGCCTCGCAGCTGCGCGCAGCTGGCGGCATGTCGGGCGGTTCCGCGCTCGCAGGCTGCCAGGCCCCATGCTCGTCGACATGTACGTGCCGCGGCCTTCGGTTGCCCTCATCGGCAGCTGGTCCGACTTCGCCTCCCGGCACGTGCGCGTGGGCTTCAAGACCCAGGAGGGCGTCTGGGTGGGCGAGCAGCGGATGGGCACGAGCGCCTTGGAGATCGAGCTGCCCCCCGGGCACTACACCTTCCAGGTGGAGGAGCCCTCCTGGTCGACGGACACTGGCTGCATGGACTTCGGCATCATCGTGAGCCAGGCGGGGGGGCCACATGCGAACCCTACCCCTACCCCCCACGATTTCTGAGGGGGAGGGTGGGGTTCACTTCGTTCGGGAGCTCGCGAGCGAAGTGAACCCCACCCTCCCCCCTCGAAATCGTGGGGGGTATGGGTAGGGTTCGCATGTGGCCCCCTACAGGCGGCCCTGCGCCCCAGCGTGTCGCAGACCTTCTCGCCGCAGCTCCGCGCGGGGGCCCTCGCCGCCGCCGCACAGGGCCCGGCGGGCGCCGCCTGGTCCTTGAGCCTGGGCGCGCGGTGCGACGCGCCGGGTGCCTCGCCGCTGCCGCTGGACGCCCTGTCGCCGTCGGGCGGCTCGGGCAGCCTGGGAGGGCCGCTGGGGCAGGACGGCCGCCTGCTGCTGCGGCACCGCGTGATGCTGACGAACATCCACGACGGCCGCAAGAAGGTGTTCCTCCGCCCACGCGGCGGGTCGCTCCTCCGCGTCGCCGTGGTCTCCGGCGACGCCGGCCAGGTGGAGGTCGCCCTGGAGGACGGGGCGCACCGCCCCCTGGAGCCGAGCGCCGCGCGCAGCCACGGGGCCGCGGGCTGGTCGGCGGCCTACGAGCTCCGCCCCGAAGACGCTGGCGGCGTCTGGCTGTCGTTCCACCGCGAGCACCAGGACGCGCACGCATCCGGCTGCGCCGCCTTCGAGCTGCTGCTGCAGGCGGCGCCCGCCGAGGACGCCGCGGCGATGTCGGTCTGCCCCAGCCGGAGCAACAGTCTGCAGGAGCTGGCGCGGCGGGCCGCAGCTGACGGATCGGCGGAGGGCGTGGTGATGCCTTTTCCAACAGCTGTCGAGGTTGCCACGTTCGATATCGACGTGGACCAGGCGTCGATTGTGGAGGTGGAAGTGCGCTTCAATTTCTTGCTGTCCGACGTGCAGGTCTGGATGCACGACGGGGCGGACGCGGACGAGGAGGCAGATTCCGATATGGGCGCCGCTGGCGCCGCAGCCGAGCCGCTGAACGCGCGCGTGTCTTTGCTGCTCAGGCTGCAGGCCGGACACCACGCCGTCCGAGTACGTCACCGACCCGCGCTACCGGCTGACAAGTTTCACTCCGCCGCCCCCTGCTTTCCGCTGCGCATCTCCATACGGCGTGCGGCGTGGTCCGGCACCGCTGTGGTCGCCAGCGCCCCGGCGGCCCCCGTCTCGCGCGCGGGGGACCTGGTGCTGGTGCTGCTGTCGCCGCAGCAGGCCCCGAGCTGGAGCATGCCCTCTGTTGCTGGCGCACTCCCGTCCAGCGCCACTGCCTTCGCGGGGGGCCTGGTGTGCACCTGGGATGGCCCCGCGCTCGTGGACATGGCTTTGGGCGGCCTCGGCCGTGAGCTGCGCACCGGCGGCGGGCAGGCCGGGACCGACAGCCCGCACATGGCCCTGCCCGTGAGCTACGCCGGCGCGGCCTCTGGCGAGGTGGTGGTCCTCACGGGCGAGGGCGGCGGCCGCCCCTGGGCGGGGGGCCCAGGGCCCGAGCTGCTGCTGCCTGCGAGGCCCTGGCTGCTGGCGGCCGCGGCCGCCCGCTCTGGCGCCACGGCGCCCGTTGGCGCGGTGCCCGCTGCGCCGGCGGCCCCCTCC